CCTTCCATGAGTGCCCCAAATTATTCTGCTGAATTTTGTATTATGAACTAGCAGTTTACTTTGAATTAATATAAAAATTAATGAACAAGCAAAAGAACAAAACCTTTAGTTGTTGCTTTCAAACAAGTACTCTGCCTATGTAAATAAGTCCTTAGTGTCTTCCAAAATGTGCTGAGTATATTGCCTGGCACAGAGTAAACACTTGAAAACTATATATTGACTGAATGTAGAATTGAGTAGTAAAAACCAAGCTGTCATTCAAAAATGCAACAAAGTATTCCTCTAGCACAGTACTTTTCCAACCATACATGTGTTAGTATCCTTATGAAATAAAACTTGGGTTCTAAACAATCAAAAGATAAAGAAAAACTATTGTTTTCTTACTGCACTGTTTTTGTCTACAGCCATACCACTTTCAACACGGCCGAGCTCATCCTATTTCACTGATGTTTTAAAACTTCCATTCGTTTCATCTGCTATGTTCTACAGCCTAATTTTATGGGTAAATATGTTCAGAATTCTACTCATTTTCCTACGCCTAACTGAAACTTCTTGTTTTAAACAACTTCCTATTAGTATATATTATTTCTACAGACTAATTGGTTTCACTTTGTCGTATTTAAACATGCCTATAATATACTTTGTGATTCCCCCCATTGACCTCCTTTTCTTTTCCTCAGTCTCCTTTCTCTTTTCCCTAATAGTTTTCCTTCTAATGTCATATAAACCCAAATTTTTCGATACTGAACCTGAATTAATCCTTCTCATCTCTCATTATCCCCACCATTGAGTCTCAATCACATATGAAATCAATACTTATCTTGATAAAGGACAATAACTATATATCCTGGAGTTTAAAATCTACTTGAGACTGGGTTTATATTTCATATTTCAATTGATGAAAACTAAAACCTCTCCCACCGATGATACTGAAGAAATGATAGCTGTCTGTGGTCCTAGACATGTGCAGCCCTATACAATTTTTCCAGTATGCTTGACCTTCGTTTCATTTGTCCAAAATTTTCAGATTCTATCATTTTTTGGCAAGATGTCCCAGATACCCACAGTTCTCATGGTCATATGCAAAGAAGGTGACTAGATTTGGCCTAAGATCTTCTGAACCAGGATGGGTCATTTTATTCATTATGTTATGGTCATGTATTCATTTGTTCCTACATAATACATCATTTTCTAAAAGCCTTTGAGATACCCATAGGTATGGCATACATTAACAATATGCACCGCACTTAGTTAAATGGCATAGGGATCACAGTTTATCAAGAAAAAAACTAGTGGGAAGCAAATAATTGGAAAATGAGAGCAACTAGAGTATGTGTCACATGATATAACAACATTTTAAAATAAAATCATATAATGAGCACAGAGAAGACAATTGGCATGAGGCAAATTGAGGCATTGGTTACTATATCACAAAATCAATCTGAACTACTGATTATATGTATTCTAAAAATTAGAAGTTTATAAAGTTTAATTGAATTTCCATCTGGCATTTCAAGTATTTTATGAAAGGAACAAAAAGTTTTTCCACTCTCTCTAACACATACTGGTATTATATCTGTTTAAATAATAGTAGCATAGACCCATGATAGGCTCTATGGCAAGTGCTTTACATATTACTCCTCACCACTGTATGATTATTTGCATGCAAAAAGTTAATTCCGATAGTTTAAGCCACTTGCCCAAGTATATGTTAGATGACTTAGTAGCTAAGATTTGAACATAGGTGTGTCTCTTTCTACTCTATATGCTTTTCAAATTCTTTGTAACAATATAAACAATCATTAAAGTAATTCAGTATAAGATGAATTGCTTGTTTTAATGTAAGGGTGACAATTACTAAAAACATTACTGATGAATAATTTAAGCACAATATCTGTTAACGGTTTCCCCTTCTCATTTTCTGCCACTGGTGTGAAATGCATAAATAAGTACACACACCACTGTAGAATTCCAAATCTTAAATGTTCTTTGAGCTATGGCTCAAATATTTCTTCCTATAAATTATTTTTATTAATTTCATATTACTTTGTCTCTTATGACAGTTTATATTTCATCAGTGCTTAAACTATTAATTTATATTTTATTTTTCATATGTAATATACAGTATTTCTTAGTTCATAGGTATCAGTCTACTTTTGTTGTAAGTTTCTTGAATAAAGAAACAAAGCATCATTGAAATTTCCATCCAGTGGTCATTTCTAAATAGAGTCCATCACTGGCTCATAGAGTTGCTGTTAGAAGAATTTCCTTTGTTGACCAATATTTCAAGTCAAGATGATTGACAATGTTTCATGGGTGAAAGAAATGATTATAAAGCTTTAAGTTTGCCTGTATCCCAACTATGAAACTACAATTAGGTAAATATTAGCATTCTAATAGATTAAATAGGAGTTTGCCATGTAAGAATTACTATATGAGAAAAATGTGTTTCTATGTGATTTGGGAGAAAAGAAACAATCAAAGGCAGGAGTATCTAACCAATCAATTTTGATCCCAGCTTCATTGATATAACTTAGCAAGCAATATCTTGCAACAGTAACCTAGTGGTTCTACGACCTAAAGGATTTGGAATGTACTTTCTTTTTTTTCTCATAGCCAAGGTGAAATGTGGAATTTATTTCTTAATCATTTGTCTCATTTCTTCAGGTATAGAATAAAAAGATACTATACATGTCTAACCCATTTCATAGATGATGATGAATAAATAGGATATGAATAACTCTTAAAGCCACACTTTTTTTTTTGCTTAAATTCTTTTATTGGTGCATTTTAGGTATACAATACATTTACATTTATCTTTGGGTACCTGTACCTGTACATGATGTATCTTGGTTCTTATTTTTTCCCCATTCCCTGTGCTCCCTTCACCCACTCCACCCTTCTCTATTTACAAAGGCTTTGTTTCCCTTTTCTCCTTTTCTCATAATTTTTCCTTCCCCTTCTTTCCCTTACCCCTCCCCTCCCACTTCCCCTACCTCTTTGGACCTTTTCTTCCTATTTGAAATTATCAATTATTCATTTTAATCATTTAAATCCTTATTTATACTTTCAGTTTCTCACACTAGAGAAACTATTCAGTATTTACTCCTGTGTCCTATTTATTTCACTGAAGAGTATGGCCTCAATATGCACCCATTTAGCTATAAATGTCTCTACTTTCTTGTTCTTTATGGCTGAGTAGTACTCCATTTTGTAAAAACAAAACAAAACAAAACAAAAATCTTCTTTATCCAGTTTCCAGTTGATGGGCACTTGGGCTGTTTCCAAGCTTTAACTAATACAAACTGTGCCGCTATAAACATGGGTGCACATATATCTCTGTGGTATGATTCTTTTAATTCTTTTGGGAAGATCCCCAGCAGGGGAATAGCTGGGTCAAATGGGACCTCTAGCCCTAGTTCTTTGAGGCATCACCATACTGACTTCCACAGGAATTGCACCAGTCTGCACTCCCACCAACAATGGAGAAGGGTTCCTTTCTCTCCACACCCCCACCAGCATTTGTTACTGGTTGATTTCTTCATAGTAACCATGCTTTCTGGGGTGAGGTGGAATCTCAGTGTTGTTTTCATCTGGATCTCTCCAATGACCAGTGATGTTGAACATTTTTTCATATGCTTATTTGCTGCTTTTACTTCATTGTCTGAGAAATGTCTGTTCATTTCAGATGCCCATTTTTGAATTGGGTCTTTACATTTGGGGGATCTGATTTTTTTCAGTTCTTTATATATTCTAGATAGTAATCCTTCATCTCAGGTACAGCTGCTAAAAATTTTTTCCCACATTGTAGGTTGTCTCCTACCTCTGTTGCTGGTTTCTCTTGCAGTGCAGAAGCTTTTTAATAAGATGAGATCCCAGTTGTTGATTCTTTGTGCTAGTTCCCGTGCTACTGAGGTTCTGTTCATAAAGTCTTTTCCTATGCCAAAGTCTTCAAGAGTTCTACCTAACTTATCTTCCAGCAAGTTTAGTGTTTCTGTCTTAATATTTAGATCTTTAATCCACTTTGATCATAGCTTAGTGCATGGTGATAGGTATGGGTCTAGTTTTAATCTCTGACAGGTTGAAATCCAGTTTTTCCAACACCATTTATTAAATAGGCTCTCTTTCCTCCAATGAGGGTGGTTGGCTCCTTTGTCAAAGATGAGGTGGCTGAGTATGTCTGGAGTTATTTCTGCATCTTCTACTCTATTCCACTGATCCTCAGGTCTGTTTCTTTGCAAGTACCATGCTGTTTTTATCACAGTAGCTTTGTAGTATAGTTTCAAGTTGGGGATTTTGTACCCCCAGCCATATCTGTGTTGCCTAGAATTGCTTTTGCTATTCTAGGTCTCTTCTGGTTCCAAATGGATTTTTGGATTGTTTTCTCTAGTTCTGTGAAGTATATTTTTGGAATTTCAATCAGCATTGCATTAAATCTGTATAGTAATTTTGGAAGTATGGCCATCTTCACTATATTGGTTCTTCCTACCCAGGAACAAGGGATATCTTTCCATTTTCTTATATCCTCTTCAATCTCCTTTTTCAGAGTGCTGTCGTTTTCAGTGTAGAGGTCTTTTGCTTCCTTCGTTAGATCGATTCCTAGATATTTCATTTTTTTAGACGCTATTGTAAAAGGAATTATTTCCCAAATTTCTCTCTCAATGACTCTGCTATTTGCGTATAAGAAGGCTATTGTTTTCTGAATGTTGACCTTGAATCCAGCTACTCTACTATATCGGTCAATTAGGTCTAGAAGACTTTTGACCAAGTTTTTTGGGTCTTCTATGTGAAATATTTTATCATCAGCAAATAATGACAGTTTAACTTCTTCCTTTCCTGTCTTTATTCCTTTTGTTTCTTTCTCTTGTCTAATGGCTGTGGCTAATGTTTCCAGAACAAAATTGAACAGGAGTGGTGATAGAGGGCTTCCTTGTCTTGTTCCTGATTTTAGCGTGAAAGTTTTCAGTTTTTGACCATTTAGTATGATGTTGGCTGTTGGGTTTTTTTTTTTTTTTACATTTTGGCATTTATTAGCAAAAATGGTTCAGAAAAAGGAGTGGGTCAAAATTACAGAATAAGAGCTAAAAGTTATTTTTAGCTGTACTGTTTCTGGGGGACTTTAACCAGTCCTAAAACAGAACTTCTATGTATGTGTGTACACAGATTGAATTAAGGTGGGGGGAGAAATTAAACCAAAAATCTTAAAACTAGGAAATGATGGCCAGTGGGGAGAAAAGCCCCTAAACTGCTCAAGCATCACTGGCTGAAGTAGTCTTCCAGGCCCTCCATGTCCGCTTCCAGGGAGGAGTTTAAAGAGGACAGAGCAGAAGATGCATCCTTGGATTTCTGGACACTTGGTTTGGCTTGAGGAGTTTCTGGTTGGATGGATTCCTTCTTGATGTCTTTTCCACCATTTAGGATCCACTGGCTCTCATCAAAGAACTGACTGGGATGATTCAAGGAAAAGCCACAATCATCTACATTATGGATCATCTCGAAGTACTTCTGACAGGCTACCTGGTAATGTGTCCCCTTTATTAAATCCAGAATCTGGCTTATCCTTTGGGAAGAAATCTTGTATGACTGCAGCTTCTGCTTCAGCAGCTCCGGATCACTGTGATGGAATGGGCACCCGTGATAATCCCCTTGGCCTGGTGGATTGGTTAGAATAATTTTCATGCAACTGTAAGGTGTATAGTCTGTCCTCTTGCCTTCCTTTCTGAAGCTATGGCGGATATTGTAAGAGTAACCTCTATCAAACTTGTCCGGATCCATCTCTCCTCTGACAAATTCTCGCTTCCAGAACTCCAGAGCCTGCTCCAGGGTTAGGCCGATGCCCTTCAGGAAGAGCCCATACTGCATGCGGCCTCCATGTCGGAGGTGGTGGTTTTCCCGCAAGGCCTTGTGCAGCTGGCGCATGCAGGGTGGAAAGGACGTGGTCGAAAGCGAATCAATCTGATCTAAAGAAATCTTCCCTGTGTTTCCCTGTGTACTGTAATCCTAGCCAGCGTAGGAATGACTAAGGTGGCTGAGCAGAGGCTGAAGTCGCTTGTCTGACTGCATAGCAGGCAAAGATCGGGCAGTCAACGCCAAAGCCTTGGACAATTTTGCTCTAAATTCATTCAGAATACTTGCTACAATGTCCTTAAGTGGCACATAAGCAAAACCATCTTCTAAATAGACTCTCCTTCCTCGGAACAAATCCAGAGCATCACCAAACGGGCTCTTATACACTGATTCCAATTCCAACTGAGCCCCAGTTAGACTTACTGATGAGGTAATAATCTCCTGTTCTCGATGATTCTTCTCTTCATCACTTATAGCCTCAAACTGCAAATGGCTATCCTTCAAGAAATTTTGAATTTTATCCTTTGGTAAAATAGTGAATCGAAATTGGAGGAGATCCGTTTCTTGTTGAATGAACCAGCGTCTAAGATCCTCAGACTGACAATAAGCAAGGCGCAAAATAAAATGAGAAATATGATCCTTTCTTCGTGGTTCATATTCATCTTCTAAGTTTTCTCTGAAGGAAAACTTGAGCTTTCGAATTTCAGTCTCCAATTTACTCTGATATTGCTCAGTTCCTTTCACATAGCTCACACCAAGATTTTCGACTGTTTTTAGCAATTTAAGTCTATCAATAGCCAAGTTCTCAAACTCTATTAGAGATATGTTTTCAGAAGGTGGCTCCAGGTAAAACTGAAGACTATGTGGGTAACAAGCATTCTTCTGGTCTCCTGCCAACCTCAGCTTCCTCCGCTTTCCTCCAGAAAACTTGCATCTTGGTCACCTGCGAACACCCCAACGCGCGAAAACACAACTGACAGCTTCTTTTCTCAGGTGGCGGGGGCTGTTGGTTTTTTATAGATAGCCTTAATCAGGTTGAGATAAAGACCTTCTATTCCAATTTTCTGTAGTGTTTTTATCATGAATGGGTTTTGGAGTTTGTCAAATGCCTTTTCTGCATCTATAGATGATCATATGGTTTTTGTCCTTGACTCTGTTAATATAGTGTATTACATTTATTGATTTATGGATGTTGAACCATCCTTGCATCCCTGGGATAAATCCAACTTGGTCACAGTGTATGATCTTCTTGATGACCATCTGTATTCTGTTTGCCAGTATCTTGTTGAGGATTTTTGCATCTATGTTCATTAGGGAGATTGGTCTGTAGTTCTCTTTTTGGG